GAAATAAAGATGTTCTACAACTAATCAAGTATTTGACTGATTTTGTCTGTTTAATGGGCCGATAACTTGGGTGCCGATTAATATGACCTAAGGTTATAACCGCGCCGGACAAGTTGCGTCGAGTGATTAATCATCTAGAAGTTTGCGTTTTTGAACGGGAGATAAATCTATTGAAACATGTCAAACTTTATCTTCTAAAAAATTTAAACTTGTGTCGCTTATATAATAAACAAAAGCTATCAAATTTTTTTAACTAAAGTCAACAACTTTCTTCGAAACAGTCTACAATGTATCTTTTTCATTATATAACTATTTTTATGGATTTTGGAGAAAAATCATTTGTTCTGCCTTGTTCTGTTTAAATTTTATCTCAAATATGAACAATATTGAGATGAAATTTATGTTTTCACAACCAAATACAATTGAATTATGAAGTAATCTCTTTCTATCTAAGTTATACAATTAATCTAGTTGGTGAATAATGAAGAATTTCGGAGAATTCCTTTTTGAACTTCTATAAGTTTTTCCTGTGTTGTTTGATTCTTGCATTGCAAACTCTTTGGTTATTCCTTAACAAAATTATCAGACGTTAAAAACAAAAAATTGTGCTCGTACACTTGGTTTTAGAAACCGGTTAATACCGGTTTATTTCTTAGACATTTCACACACGTAATTTGGTTTTCTTATCTTTTACTCATGTTTGCTACATTTTTGTTGTTTCACTTTTATTTTTCACTAGATTAAAGACCCACAAATATGCGGGTTTACAATTTAATATTTTATATACTTGTGAAAAAAAATTAGATCACCCATTAAAATAAATAAAATAAAAGTAAAAACATTGCTACAAAATAACTGATTGAGCACCATAGTATTTATTTATTATTTAATTGACAATTAAATTTATTACATATGTTCAAATTATTAGTTTTTCGTATTCCTATTTAAATTAGTTACTATTTTACTACTCAAACATCTATTTTTAAAATGTTGATAAATTTCTTCTCATATTTATATTTGAAATATTTTTAATTCTTAAATATTTTATAATTTGTGGAAAACAAATTAAACACGAAAAAAAATAAAATTAGATTGTTCCATGAAAATTTGACAAAAATAAAACGATCATTCTCTGAAATAATAAAATAAGATTGAGAAATTTAATACAAAACCTCTTATAGAAAATTCTATCAAATATATATGGGGCAATTACAAAACTGCCACTTTTTGTGTGCACATTTGCAAAAATACCACTTAGGGGTGACCATTTGCAAAAATGCCACTAATTATAGATTTATAAANCCTATATCTTAAAATTCTAAACCCTAAAAAATGNTTTGACCCCTAAAACNCCCTAAACNCTCANAACTAAACCCTAATAGAACATAATTAACCCAAACATAAATGATATAAAGAAAAAATAATTTTGAAAAAGTGGCATTTTTGTAAAGATTTCAAAAGTGTGGCATTTTTGTAAAGTGGCATTTTTTGAAATTTCTCAATATTTATCTATGTTCTCATATAGAGAAATCTATTAAATATTTAACTACGTTATTTTTATATATTTTTTTCTTGTATTAGTTGATTTTTAATTAAATTATATTACGTATTTTCCAAATAATTTGATTTTTCTAATCCTATTTAAACCAAGATTACTTTTTATTGTTTTACAAATATAGATATTATTATTTTAAATAAATAAATCTTTTAACATGTGACTAAATCTAATTAAAAAAATCTTTTATAGTTTTATATATATGATCGATTGACTCAAACATGCCTACTGATAAGATTAATTATAACGTGGACGAATGAAACTTAGCAAAATAATATATTTTTACTTTATTAATTTTTTTTATCTGTAAAAAAAACAAATAAAAATGGAGAAATTCATTAGATTACCTCATATCAGTGATGATATATGCTGTAAACAATAATATTTTTTTATCATAGAAAAAGATAATAATCATTGTTTTCTTGATGAGAGAGCCGAAACAAATTCTATGGCAGAAATTGTTGAAGTTTTAAAAAATTTTGGTGAAAAGATAGAGAGATAAAAAAAGTGTTTAAATAAATATGAAATATTATAATCTTTGAAGATTTGGGTATGCAAACCTAAGTCTATTCAAATTCAAAAAAATAATTACATGTATAATATAATATTCCAATGAGAAAAGGTATATGATTTATTGTCTTATCTATTTCTATTTAAAATCAAAATATCAAACTGATAAATACAAATATGTAAGTTTAAATTTAAAATAAAATTGTTTGATATGTGATAAAATCTAATTGGA